AATGAGTCACGAGCAACTTAAAATGAGGTAGGCAAAAGCTTTAGACTTACATTAACATGATGAAAAGTTGCATGCTTATTTTGCTTCCTGATTACTTAAATGCTTGGCTTGGTGCGGAGGTGGACAAATGCTCTATCTTGATTTGTCTAATTACGTTCATTATTGGCTTTCGTTCTTGAAACTATAGGCTACAGTAAATAATAATCTTTTGCCAGTGGTAGGTTCCTTGTATGGAGTAATCATTGCTGATACAGTCTTCATTTTTCTCTTTTCATTATATTTGTGTGCGTTATTTTATCAAGCCAATTATTATGTGACAATAGACGCTTGTAACAATAACCAGAATTATAGAAAGAAGAAGGATAAGAAGAGAAACTGGAGAGAGAACATTATAGTTTTTATTCAATATCTAGGCATATGTGCATAGACTCTCATCATATTGGTATTTAAGTAGTCTAATTTAAGTAGGAAAACAACTAAAGCAATAACATAAAATACTAGAGAACCTTTTAAACTAAGCCCTAATAGCTTTTCTTAAAATTAGAGTCTAAACTTGGTAAATCTTCAGTATTACATTATTACGGATCTCCATTATTATGACTACAATTTTTCGGCAAGGATAATTGACTGATGGAAATGTGAAGGATTATTTACCTCAAGTGCAAAGACACCTTGTCATACGCTCATGTGTATTCTTTGCATATTTCCACTGGCTGTTGAGTTAGATTCAAACCATAGCTTTCCGATAACTTGGTAACATTCCCTGATTTTCTTTTCTTGAAAAGTTTCAGTTCATGGTAAGGAATATGGGTTTGGAGCACACGACTTCCCAATCAGTGGAGTGTTTGAAGTGGAGCCAAAGAGCTGTCCTGGTTTCATATATAGATGCTCTGTCCCTCTGGGTTATCTTAACATGCCACCCTCTGAATTTCGTACATTTGTTGAGAGTGTAGCTTCTGAGTATCATGGGAACACCTATCACCTCATTTCCAAGAACTGTAATCATTTTACAGATGATATCAGCAAGAGATTGATAGGTAAAGGGATTCCCGGATGGGTGAATCGGCTGGCACGGCTAGGTACAAATTTCTCACTTGAATATAATTTCTATCACATTTAGTTTGATGGCAGTAGGAATTTCTTATGCAACTAGTAAACACGGAGGCTTTTTAAAAAATATCGATCAATTCGTTATGCAGATTTTTTTTCACGACAAGCTTATCTTATCTTGATATTTCAGAGGCTTGAACATGTCAGTGCTTCCTAGAACAACAACAAAGAAGCTAGTATCATTAATTCGTTTTCCATCATTTTACTCGATCTAGAGCTAGCTTATTTGGAATATCCAAGAAATAAATTTTTTGGCACCTAACTAAAAAGCCTTGTTAGTTTTGGTTCACCTCTCATTTCCTCACATATTTTGATGCGGTTACGTTGTTTTTGTGGACGGGAGTTTCTATATACCTTGTCGCAAGTCACAACTATCTAGATGTCGATGTCCCTTAATTTATTCACAATTAGTGTTATCTCCAGATGTTTGTGTATCTCATTTCTAGTTTTATCCATTCTAAGTTGTCGCATATCCATCTTAACACCTTCGTTTCGTTTGCATGTATTTTATTGACATTTTGTTTTTAATAAGTCAACAAGCTATAAATCATAAATTGTGTAATAATCGTTCTGTAGAATTTTTGTTTTACTTTGATAGATATCTTTTGATCCCATAGAATTACTGTAACCTTTTCATAATCTGCTTTTGACGCTTTCTTTATCCTTATTCCTGCAATGACTAAAAAAATATTTTGTGCATTTTGTATTAGTTCTAATAAAAAAAGATCTCGAATTTCAAACTGCTCCCATTTCCGTACTGTAGCTTCTTTAACTTTTACATTTGTGATAGTACCCCATACATATTGTAATAATGATATGATAGAAACTTATTTTTTCTCTAGCATCCATCATGACACTTCCCTTGGTACCATATCATATACTCTTTCTATATCAATTGAAACCATACGCATTTTGTATGTTCTCTATAATTTACTATGTAATAGGTTTCGCGGGCTTATCTCCCTTGCATAAAACCAAACTAGCTGTGTGAGACTTTCAAAATATATCAGTTCAGGCTCAGTCATCAATTCCCATTGTTTCACAGTATGACTTATAACCTGTTATCTCTATAATTTGTGGAATCTTGAGCTTCTTTCATTTCTTATATTAGGTCTACATCTTACCATTTATTAGCCATCTCTTTACACTCATAGATCTCATTACTAAAGTTGTTGACCATAAAATACTCACTTCGCCTAGGATATTGGTTCCATTATATTCAATTGCTTTTCTCTTCTCTTCTTGATCATCTTCACAACTTGACCCACTTCTAAGGTCACTATTCATCAAGGGAACATGCCTATTTTAATAAAGTTTGAAAGAGTTACAAGATCCATGATATGCTTTCTATTAAATGCCTTTCAGAAATATTTTGTCTAAATTTTTGTGATCTCATCGTTATAAATAACTTTTGATTTTCAGCACACAACTTTGTTAAGATTGAAAGATTTGCAAGATCCAAGATATGCATTCTATTAAATAACTTGCAGAAATATTTCCTCTAAATTCTGTGATCTCATCGTTATAAAATACTTTCATGATTTTCATCTTTCACACAACTTTGTTAAGATCTCTATTTATCTTTTCCTCTGTTGAGATTTCTTATATATAGCTTCCTTCCCATTATTGGTTCTATTTTGTCAAAAGCCTCCCCCATTTCTAAATTTTCATAGAATTCTCTTTCTTGTTCTAATTGTCAACTGAACCTTCTTTTCATCACCTTGGTTAGTTATTAGCTTGAATTCTACCTTAGACCATCTTAATACCTCCTTTAACATGACTAACAACCTTACTCCACATCAAGTTACTTGTATTTTAATTTGCAAGTTCTCCGTCTTGTTCTTTTCCATGTCTTAATACATGAACCACAGCTAACCTAATTGGTCATTTTGTTGCTCATTTAAGAAGCTATGGGTGCAATACAGATCGAAATCTGTGCCAGGAGTTTGGTTGCTCATATAAAATGAAATACATAATTGGCACTTCTACCTTTTTGGCACACTTGTTTGACATCAATGACATCCCCTGCATTCTGATAAAAATAATTTGTTAAAGTTGGAGAATTTTAGGATTTCCAAGGATATTTGATACTACATAATGGTGTGGAAACTAATGGATTGATGATGATGGGTAAATTAGTTTAATGTCACGCCTCGGAGGCATTTGAATTTCATTATGCAAGATTCTTGCATCTAACATGCCATGACTAATATAAAACTTTGAGATTTTGTTTTCTAAATCCCTCTCTTGTGAAAAACTTTAACTTGCAGGTGCTTTCTGTAGCTGTCTTCTTCCTGAAAATCTTCAAGAATCAACAGTTAAACATCTTCCTGAATATCATGCTGCTTATTCAGGCAAGCGTCTTATCTACTTCTTCAATGCAGTTTTGCTCCCTGATTCCCTTTCTGCCTTTCATGATGATAGACCAATCATTCCACAAGAAATTTCTCTTACAATAGTAACTTCCTCATGATTATCTTTCTACTACTTTCAGAAGAAGATGGAAGTGGTTCTTCATCTAGTGCAACACCACATGAGCCAACAGAAAGTGAAGATGGAGATCAAGATAAGTTGCTACTGCCACTAGGTGGGGATGTTGCGTTTATAAAAGAGGCGCCGAGGTGAAATTTGGTTCTCTCATACAAATGGTAGAAAATGTTGGTTTATGAAGGATTGCTCCAATCATTGTTGCTTTAAGAAATTCCTCGGCCCACTGAGAGCTACATTACCGCTAAAATTCTTGATTTCATGCTTGTTTGATATGCTGTTTTCATCTTTCTTTAATTTCCCATTAACGTTTCTTTTATCAAAACTAAGAATTGTGCCGAAGTAGCAGATACATCAGCAGCGCTTTTTTGGAGGTTTTGGAAAACATTATGTACATGTTTCTGGCTTCGGAAGATGGAGATAGAAAAACCGATTAGAGGAGATGTTTTTATGATGCTTTGTTTGCTGTTCTGGACTGAGTTGCTGCAATTTGGTACCTTCGAGTTGGAAATCTGTTTCATAGTATACTAAACTCTCTTAAGAGTTGTCTTCATTGCATGTGTTTCATGTATACTTCAGAACTTTTGTTGCTTGTTTTATATGTACAACCATTATTATCTTTGTATATCTTCCAGTTAAGAGCAGACATCCGAAATATTGCTCCTTTTCTGCTCATATTGCTCAAGAACAAGTATACAAGATTCTTAACAGATTAGCCTTTTTATTAATTTACGTGAAGATATGCATATTTTTCATAACTGGTTCCAAGCTCGCGCCTAGAAAGAAGGTTGCCAAAAGTTGACAGGAAGTGTAAAATTTTGTTAAATGTTCTGATTATTTTACGTGAAGAATTTGCTACTTTCCTTTTCCAAGCAACTTTGAAATCTTGCCTATTGGTTTACACAAGTTATATCGCGTGGCTACTTTTTTTGCATTTGTCGATATCATTCAATAATCATATCGATTTTCAAAAAATAAGTTAAATACTTGGCTACTTTGGCAACCCATTTGAGCGAAGTCTCCGGCATTCCCCGTCATGACTTGACAAGGGTGGAGTACTTCTATTTATGGGCCGAGTTGGACATCCAAGTACTTCGTATTCAATAGTATATGCCCTCAGTTTCGCTTTGGGTAACATCGGCAGAACAACTGGACATTTTCAACATTATGACGTACTATTTAAGCCTTAATATGTCTACAATCAAGCTATACTGTGTACACCTGATAGCACCAAGCCATACGAGCAATGGTGAAAGTTTATTTGTTGCCAAAATAAGTGCCGGTTCCATCAAATTCGTTATACCGTACAACAATAGATAATAAATCAATCCATGTACCATTGGTCCACCCAAGCTACATTAAAGCTTGTACTATGTGCATCTTCTCATGATGTCCCATCCAGGCTAAGTTTCGAAGTTAGCCGCACAGAGTTCATTCATTTCTTCGGGTATAGTATAGTGACCAAGCCTGTTTGATGGAATACTCCATCGGTTACTGCAAACTTGACGACGAAAAGCTGTAAAGACAGCAAGAAAAAATACATACCCAGAATATGATTTAAATGTAGTGTCTTGAAATCCAGACGAAGACAACTTGTTTGCAGACTTCTCGCCAAATTTATGAGAAACCACATCATCTCCTGCATCAGATTATACGGGTATAATCACCATGTACACTATGGCAACAAGCGTTAAAAAGATAATCACTACATTAATCTAAATTTCCTCGTGCTTAACGGAAAGTGCTCTGTCCTTTTGCAGGGAAAAATAAAGAAAAAATGTGGGCTTTGTGGTTCTCCTAGCCCATTGGGCTGACCCGGTTTGTACTATTTTTGATCTTAGCCTTTGGATAAATTGGATGGTTAGGATGAATTCTTGGCTAGATATTTTGGCTCGACTCTTGGTACTATATTTACGTGGGTTTGGCTTCCCAGACACACCTCCTCTCTTCATTTTCTCTCGCGTTTTCTAGGGCTTCTCTGGGCTGAAGTTTCTCTTCCCTTTTTTGGGTGATTTCTATGGTTTGATTCTAGTGATTCATGGGGGTTAATCTTGGGTATACTAAGGCTTGAATTAGTGGCTGATTGGTGCCGGTTTTCTTCCCTAAAATCTGAGGCTAGAGTCTGTTAAACAATGGTAGATCGTTCTCGATCGATGACCTGAAATCTTACCCTGGTTTTTCTCTAAGAACATCTCTCTGGAGGGCGATTTGCGTGGCGTGGTTGGAGCTGTTCCTGAGCCTGCACTTCAGCCGAAACCAGGAAGAAGAACTGGAGCTTTGACTGGTAGAAGGGAAGGATCTTTCTGCCCTTTATTGTTCTGTCCATTTTAATTGTTCTGGCTTTTTCGATTTATGCAGTATATATATATATATACATTTGCAGCCATTACTTGATTAGGACAGTATTCTGCTGATTTAGTGTTCCTGTAAATGCTAGTGGAATATGTTGATTACTGCATGTTGATGACCATTGAAATGAGCTTGGTTTTAACTGAATTGATGAACTCTGTTAATTAGTTCATGTTGCATTGGTCAGCCTGTGTTTTGAGCCATTATTATGCTGTACATTTTCCCAACAAATAAAAATTTAAAACAGAATGATTACTCCCAAATATCTTCTCAACCAGCAGAAATACCAGTTCTTCTATCCGATATCCTTGGGATTTATACCTTTTCCATGACAAAGCAGAATAGGCAAGGATGCAGCACGGCTAGTGGCCTCATTTACCCCTTCTAATTTGCTACTTAGATTCCTGGAGAAAAATAGCAGTAATGATAATATATCAAAATGAACAGAACACAATAAAGATATCATTTCTGATAATATTATTGTCAGGAATCTCACTTAGCACATGGAAGCCAGCCACTTAATCCAACAACTGCACTCAAATTGGTTGGATATGGGCTGCCATTGTCATACTTTCCTTGAGTGAAGCAAGTTGCAGAGTAGAGGGCTATTGCTGTACCCATACTGAAGCCTCCAACACCGAGTTTGACTGTTACAAATGTCAACAGGTATTAAATGTAACTAACTGCTTAGAAGTTTGGCCAAGCTAAAAACTCCATCTGATGGGGAGCCAATTAAAAAGAAAGAAGGAAAAAGAAGAGTTAAACTGAAATTAACTCGAGGACAGATGTTATTTGTTGTCTCATTTTATTGCCAACATATATCTGGATCCCAAACTTGTTCACATAAGTTACAAAAAGTGCACATCCCAATGTCTTAAATTAATAGAAAGTTCATGCTTCCTTATATTCGAGACAATGAATTAATATAGTTCACATACTATTGTATGGAAAGTCAGTGAAACCCTATGGAGCCCGTTCCCTCAATATCCAAACTCCAGCCACCCAAACATCTACTCTGGTTGGTGCCGGCGATGGCAACGAGGTACCGACCGGCGAACCCATCCCCACCGGCCTCACGCCACAAAACTTTGGCTATTCAGGCCAACACCACACACACCGGCGGCGGCCCTAGGTGGAAACCCTAGCACCACTGCTCGAACCGGAGCAGGATTTTTCGACGAGAAGTTCTGGATGGAGACGGGGAGTTCAAGCGACTGAAATACGGGCAGCAGCCGTCTGAAAGCAATTGACCAATCTGGGATCCAAACCCAGATTCATGCTTTTCCGACAGACGCGCCCGACCGGTGGTGCTGTCTGAAATTGCACGCGCCACTCCGACGGTGGACCTGCCGGCGAGTGAGGGCCACGTGCCGGCGCCGAAAAAGTTGAAAATTCAGGAAAATCAGTAGAATGTACCTAGATCATCCAGCAGGCCCATGTTGTCATCAGATGTGCCGTTTATGCACATTCAAAGGAAAAAGTGGTCGAATGCTAATGGTTTGGTTTTCACTCGGCGATTTAGAGTTGAGGCGAAGGAGTTTGTGGTGTCTGTTAATGAATTAAGTACTGTTAGGTTACTAGAGTGGGGCTCGAGGGTGTCGACCACAATCTATATGGGGAGGTTTGGTGCACTTTGGATGGTGAACATGGTGGATAAGTTGAGAGCAGCTAGTAAGTTCGAGGATTTTGTTTCCAAGTTTACCGAGTCACCACGAGCTTTTTGGCACGACGTTGTGCGAATAGTCGCAGCAGGTACTTGACGATAGCTCAGTATGGAGAGAGGTGTCAGATGGGTGTTGTGATGGTTCCGGAAGGCGAGGATAGAGAGGGATAGGCAACGTTCTCATGAGTGTTTAAGGCTGTGGTTGATTCATTTGTTGCGAGGGATAAACCTAAACATCGAACAATGGATGAAAGATATAGACAATGGATGACTTAAGCCGAAGTGACGGCAAACTCACATCCATCGTGTAAAGTTGATCAACGGGGGCTAGTGCGTAATGACAGGATGTATAAGGTGAGGGAATATGACGATCATCTTTCGATGCCTAAGCCTATGGAGAGACTTGCAGAAAGTTCACATGGTGGCATATTCAACAGTGTTGAAATAGGGGCCCGCGTCCAGCGTTGAAAGATGAGTTGAAAGCTTCGAATTGACGGCTAATTTCAAATGGACATTCAAACCCCACGTTATAAATTACAAAAATAAGAAACAAAAATTCATAGCTTGAAAATCGTGTCTACTCAACTAGAAACACTAAACAAAGAATCAATATTGCCCAATTTATCGTTCAACGCTCTGGAACAAGCAAATCAACAAACCATAAAAACAATATCGAGTGTGTAAGGTCTTGATTAAGCAATTAAAATTATAATTTTCAAAAAGATTATAAATGACTATTTAGATACAACGACCATATGAAAATGGAAAAAATAAAAAAGTCAACCACAGATTTCATTTCTTGCAGTAACAATGTAGTTTGAGGATTTTTACTCGACATTCATAATTTTACCTGAAGAGGATGTAAACTCGATTGCGTAAATGCTCTCTCTCTGTCTCTCTCAGTTTGTCTCCGATGAACACACGAGCGCTTATCTTGTAACAGGACTCCCGAACAATGGAATTGCGAAGACAATGTTTGGCCAAGCTTATAACTTGACTTATAAGTGAGAAAGGAGAGTAAAATGTTTGAATGGTCACTGAACTTTAACATGGTCACGACTTACTCACTAAACTTCAAATTACCTTTTAATGGTCACTGAACTTTCTGCCGTTGCACCACATCCAACACTCACCAAATTCCGTTACCATCGAAGCTGACGTGGCGGACGAAAAACACACGTGGAAGATGACGGCCGTTAAAAAATGACAACTCAGCGAAAACATTGTTTCATTACTCATCCAACTTATATTTTGTCACAGTTCACTCATCGAACTTCAAAATGCTTCCCAATGGTCACTTATTTTTGAAATATTGCACTCTATTCATCATCTGCGTATTTTGTTCCCTTCGTTCCTAATGTTCGCACAAAAATTCCACGTGATAAGTTACAAATGTTAAAAAAAAATTGCAACTCAACAAAACTCAACAAACCAAAATCATCATATATGAAACGTGACTTCCACGGCCCCATCAACTTCTTTAAAACTCAATAAAGTGTCCACAATGATTCTTTTTTGTATAGTGAACTTTCGAATTAGAAAATGATATTTCTAAAAGAATCATTGGGAACGCTTTATTGAGTTTTAAAGAAGTCGATGGGGCTGTGGAAGTCACGTTTCATATATGATGATTTTGGTGAGTTGAGTTTTGTTGAGTTGCAAGTTTTTTTAACATTTGTAACTTATCACGTGGAATTTTTGTGCAAACATTAGGAACGAAGGGAACAAAATATGCGGATGATGAATAGAGTGCAATATGTCAAAGTTGAGTGACCATTGGGAAGCATTTTGAAGTTCGATGAGTGAACTGTGACAAAATGTAAGTTTGATGAGTAATGAAACAATGTTTTCTGTGAGTTGTCATTTTTTAACGGATGTCATCTTCCACGTGTGTTTTTCGTCCGCCACGTCAGCTTCGATGGTAATGGAATTTGGTGAGTGTTGGATGTGATGTAACGGCAGAAAGTTCAGTGACCATTAAGAGGCAATTTGAAATTCAGTGAGTAAGTCGTGACCATATTAAAGTTCAGGGACCATTCAAATATTTTACTCGAAAAAGGAAGTCATAAAATATATATATTTTTTATATTGGTAAAAATTGTATTTTGAGGTTAGTGAAGTTCAAAACGTTTCTTCATGGCTTATTAGCACAAAAAGTCTCTATGTTTGTGTTTCGTGCGGGTAGTTGCTAACAACTAAAAAGAAATTCAAACGATTGTGTAAGGAACAAACCTCTTGAGAAAAGTCCCAAAAAGGGGCGTTTTATTGATGAGAGTTACAATTGGAACTAAACAGAATGCCTCTAAGGGGCACAAGCACACGAGTACTGAAAAAAGGCTAATTAAAGTTAATCTAAGAAATTAAAATTACATATTCTCTGTTTGAGAGTGTTTGATACGGGGTCTTTTTCCTCTATGTCTATTCTTTCCTTTTATACTCTCATGACGACTTATGTGTGACAAACCGCTTGGAAACTACTACCCATTTTCTTCATGGTGCCTAATTTGTCGTGGAACTGCCATCTCTAACTGCTGCCATTACTTTTCGTTGTTCAACTGCTTTCAAAGAGGTTTCTTAAATCGTGGAATGTGATAATTAGCTCGATAACTGTCTCAGTAACCGCTATTCCGGATGACCACAATATCTCACATATTAGGATTCTGGGCGACTTGAAGGCTCGAGCGAAAACGAGGCTGTCGAGCTGAGCGACAGTGAGGCACTCCATTCGTCCGAATTCTGGGCGTCGTGTGGGCTTGGGCGATGATGTTACTGTGTTTGTAGGCCCCTTCTGCACTTACCAACAACCTCATTTGGGCCTTTGTCCTGAGCCTCCAATTGGGCTTCACTCTTTGGGCTATCCAATTTGGGCTGTATTTTTAGTGTGTCAATAATTACCTCCCAATATGGCAAATTTAATACCAAGTATTCACTTACGCCATATTCACCTTGTATTTACTAGGCAATATTTGAAATTCCTGAGAATTTCAATCATCGTTTCTTTTTTCAGCTTCAAAAAGTGCAACGTTACAAACCCTTATAAACCCAAAAGACGCGCCATTTCTTCGCCCACTAAACCACGTTCCCGTACTTCGTGCTTATTCCCCGCTATTTTACTGTTCATCTTCTTGCTTCTCTACTACGTTTTAACCTTAACACAACTGCACTTTACACTCAATGGCGTCTTCACAAACTCAATCTGATGATGTTTTTAGTTTCGAAGATTTCCGCAATATCCTTGCTAGGCCGTATGTAAGTGCAAGCTTCCTCGCACCGGCCAATGCTGACCTCAATGAATTCTACTTAGGTCTGTCATTCAATAATGCCGAAGCCATTGAACAGGTGGCGGTGGGCCAGTTGTTTCCTTGCACCGAGGATCTTCAATTTCTGAACTCTCTGCCATTGAAGCCAATCCACGATAAATGTATTCGTACTTGACCAAAACTCGATCCTGATTTTTGTAGATGGCATGCACGTATGATGAATCATGGTCCCACCAAAGCAATTTTTGATCGTGCAAAAATTTTGGACTTGTTAGAAATTACCCTTTTTCCCCCAACTTATGACCCAGTGCTCTTCCCAGTCGCCCTGAGTTTCTGGTCCTCTGAGTACAATACTTTTATCTTTCCTCTTGGCCCAATGTCTATTACTCTAAGGGATGTTGGAGCCTTAGTAAATCTTCC